CTGTAGCAGCCATCGCAGAATATTGCTGTTGTCTGTTGACGAACACATGGTCAAATCAAGGAACAGGCCAGCAATTAGGCAGTTCATGAAAGATAAGCCTACTAAGTGGGAGATAAATCTGTAGGTTGCTACAGACAATTCTAATGGTTATACTTGCGACTTTCAGATTTATACAGGGATGAAGTCCAGAGATTGATCGCAGCAAGGATTGGGGTATAATGTGGTGATGTGATCTAAGTAAGTCAGGTCTTTTGTGGTCCAATATATATTTTGTGCCAAAAAAGGAAATATGTTCATAATCCAATTGTGTGGATGAGTCCTGCTTTGGCACACATTACTTTTTTGTAACTACCAGGGGCGACGCCAGCCCAACAACACTTGATCATGCTATGTGCAAATATTTTTATGTTCTAGATAGACTTTCGAAAGTCCGCGGTTCGTGGTTCCTGGAAGCGACGGACTTTTGTCACCCGCAAGCGTGCCAAATTCACCCGTGCATTTTTGCACCGGTGACGTCATTATTATTATGAACAAAACAATAATGAACTAGTGAAATCGACATGGTGGACGCCCACTATGTCATAATTGATTTTCGCGCCAAATTTTTCAGTAAGATTCAAAATCAGGCAAGTGACACAAGTCGCTCGCTTCCGTCTTTCTCAAGCGCTCCCTTCTTGGAGCTGCGCTCCCTAGAGAGCGACTTGGGAAAGTCTATGTTGTAGATTGTGAAACAATCAATTTCTAAAGAAATGAGTAATTATTATTTAAAACTTGCATAGCATGACCAAATTGTCAGGCAGGCTATGCCACTGATAACTAATTCAATGGTGTACTGATTATCTAAGCATGTACATATAGTAACCGTAGAAATAAAGACATTTTGTAAATAGTGATTTTAGTGTTCTTTTGTGGGTATCACATACTTATTTTGGTACCAAACTATCCTTGTAGAACAAGAAATATTGGAAATGTGGTGATAAGTATTGATAATATGCTGCAGCAATGAAAAAGAACCTTTGAAAAGGGTATTTGTTTCATGTGAGCACAAAATGTAAATTTAGTCTACTACATAGTTCATTCAAAAATTCAGTAAAAGTAATTCGCGTACTTGTAGATCAAAACTGTTTCTTTCTGTTACATTCATAAAACTGTTGACATATTTGAAATTTGAACCGGTAAATACGTTTATGCATAATTGCAACATTTTTTATATCATAATTTATGCACCTTTATGCACGTTTTTACGTCAACCAAACTTGTGATGAAATTGAAATTGGTATCGTTGGAAAGTGGAAGTTCTCCTCTTTCGAACGATGCAATTTCTGTTTCCATATAATGCATAGTTTGAAAGATATTTATATTTAAAACAACACCACTTAAAATACCTACATTTCGACCGGGTGAGAATGAGTTAAAATTCTGTTTTTCATTTTGCAAAGATATGATGTATTTGCACACCACCGTATTTTGCTGCGTTTTGTTAATATGCGGTATAATTTTTCGATAATCCCGCAGTTTCGTGAATTGGTGGCTGTTGGTAACCGTAAAACAAAGTTTGAAAGGCATAAACACGAATTTTGTCGAATACGAACCGGATGTTTTTAATAATTCAATCGTTGTTTTGGCTAATTCAATTGTTGGTTTGGGTAAGTGTAAAAAATTCAGTAGTAAAATTCCATAACGCACTTGATTTGTATTGTCGAGGTTATTCTTATCTGCGAAATTAAAAATTAATTTACAATAAAAAATATGCTTTTGTGCAAGCTGGAAATATCGGCAGTAATTATTATCGTTCATTAGTACAGCACATCAGTTGTGTTTTTATATGCGTTCATAATGTTCTTTTACGTTTTACAGTAAATGTAGAATGATCAAAATATAACTAAAAGGCTTGTAAAGCATTTATATTTTATCGTATTTTAGACCAAATTCATACTCTGTCTGTCGCCAAAACGAGTTTTCCAGTTTCCCCTGGCCTTGCAGCTTGACGGCATTTGAAACTAAAATTTGGTCTATTGAAAACAAAGTAACATACCACATTCTACATCTTGAAAATCAATGATTCTCAAGTTAAAAAAATAGTCTTAATATTTTCCCATAATAACACTTTCACGTTACCACGGCATAATATTTTCACGTTACCTTTCATCTGTTAATAAGCAAGGCGAGGGGTATAACTGTACATGCATGTATTTAATTCTAGTACAGATATATCAATATTATTATATTATTTTCAATTCTGTATCTGTCCTTTACACAGCATTCGTCCTCGCCATCTGCCAAACTTTACTCATATAAGCCGAGAGTAGTTTCATGCAATGCATGCATGCATGCATGGAAGTAAATTTTTATCAAATTTGTAGTGCCGGGAAATGGCTCTGTACAACAAGGGCAGATTTCATGCTCGACGCGACCAATCAGCGCATTTGTTTACATTTTCGCTCTCAGCTAATCGTAATGCCGGAAACGAGAAATTTTCACCAAAGCGAGCTAGAAAATATTGCCGTCTTCTCGGGCTTCCGTGAGATTCAATTTTAACTTTTTTAATTTAAAACTAAAAGATTATGATGCAGCATATTAAAATCTAAAACTTTGCCGTAAGCATTTTTAAATTTCGACCTAGAACGGAAAATATCCGTGTTTGAAATGTTTCCTATGTCGCGTATACAAATTTGAGTAATCTAATTTGACTGCAATAAAACTAAAAATTGCTATATTTTCTCTGCTTTACGTTTTTGTTCGAAAACTCTTTTTCGCTCTTGTTGAGAATCATTTTGGTCAATGTATTATTTCATAACCTAGAACGCGTTTAGAGAGTCTGATTTTCTGCAAAATCGGCCGGACAATATTTTTGTATTGATTTCCAGTATGATCGCGAGCGTGCGACTACATATTTTTTAAATCAAGCGCTATAAACGCATTATCGTCTAGGTTTTAATATAAAACATTGACCAAAACAATTTGCAACAAAGAGCGAAAAAGAGTTTCCAACAAAATCTTAAAAACAGAGAAAATATAGCAATTTTTAGTTTTATTCAATTAGATCACTCAAATTTGACATTTGTATATACGCGACATATAGGGAAAAATTTCAAACATGGATATTTTCAGTTCTAGGTCGAAATTTAAAATGCGTACGGCAAAGTTTTAGATTTTAATGTGCTGCATCATAATCTTTTGGTTTTAAATTAAAAAAGTTAAAATTGAATCTCACGGAAGCCCGAGAAGACGGCAATATTTTCTAGCTCGCCTTGGTGTAAATTTCTCGCTTCCTGCATTATGATTAGCTGAGAGCGAAAATGTAAACAAATGCACTGATTGGTCGAGCACGAAATCTGCCCTTGTTGCTCTGTATATTATTATAAACTATACTATTATGAACTAAAATATTATAAAAGTGTTTTAAAATTAAACTAATTATTTGGTCTATTTTGGCTACATCAATATATTTTCTATCAAAGTGCAGGATATTTTGCTAGTCCGTACCATCGTACGATTTAATGATTGGGCCAAAAAATTAACTAAAGTCTGTTTTCCAGTTAAGCAAGCGATCATCTAACGCCTGCATTACACAGGGTAATTTAGAAAAAGTTCACTGACTGCACATTTAAATTTCAAGCTAAGTCATTCGGTCTTTGTACGGGGTTGCACGTATATACAACAATAAAACTGCAAAGGTAAGACTATAAGATTTATTCATTGTTTATAGCCGCATCCTAAAATTTTAAATCATTTTAACATTTAAAATATTCTCCACATGTTCATTGATATATAGAGGATATTACACGGCGGCGCGAAGATATGATTTTTATCTTTGAGTGGTGAAAACAAATATATTGTTTTTAACACGAGAAGATAAAATCATATCTTCAAGCCACCGTGTAATGTTCTGTTTATTATATATAGTCCCAAGCAAAAAATTGTATAAATACTTAAAATCACGTGATCGATATCTTCACTAGTGAAGATATGGAAAATATCTCACTGTGTATATTTCAATATCTCACTCTGTACTAGCCTATATAATAAATTTACTTATAGGTGCATGGTATTATTGAATTCTTCACAACGCTATATAATAACTCTTGCACACCTCTCATCTCATCTCGTGTTTCTTGCAGCACTTTATATATATAAATTCCGTTCACCCAGTATAAATTCAGGGGCCGGTTGTATATAAAACTCTTATAATTACTATTTAGGCTAACTATCCATTTTTATGGTAATTAACTTTAATCACATAGTAGGTGGTCATTCACCTTTAAACCTTTTTTTTTTTCAATTTATGCCATATTAATGTGAAAGTATCATTTTTAGAAAGAGTTTGGTGATAGAAAATGACTTATGCAAAAAATTTTTCACAAAGTCACTAATTAGACTAATTAGCCAATATGGCGGCCGCTAATTAGCCCATAAATGCTCAACGTTTGAAACATGATATAACATGAACCAATTACTCAAATTTAATGAATGATATATTTTTAGAAAGCTTAGAACCTAATCTAGTGCCTTCCTGTCTTTATTTTCACCTTAAAGTTGTTTTTTTCAAGATTTTGATATTAAATGTGAATATTAAGGGAAAATTCAATTTTTCGACAGCAATTTAGGTAATTAAATATCAAATTTTTGTTAATAATGAAACTTATTGAGATTTGAAGAAAGGAAGGCACTAGCTAAAGGCATTGGCCAATATCATGCCAAGTTTCAACTATTTATCGAAATGAGAAAATGCTGTTTTGAAGTTTCGTTCCATTTTTTTTTGCTTCAGAAATGTTCAGAAGGCCCCTGCTTCATCAGTAGTACCTTAATTGTCTTGCACATTATCAATATAATGTTTTCTCAGATGTCTCAATGTCTTCCTTCTGCTTTTCACCTTTTCTGTTACTTTCTTGGCCAACAGTTTGATCCTCGCTGTGTCACTATCGTGTGCGCCCTTGCTGGTGAATATTTCAGGAGTGATATCCAAATCACTCAGAATCTTCAAGAAGGAAATGTCCCCATCATTGAACCTCAAGACAGCAAGATAAGTGGCAAGAGCAACAGTCTCCTGCTCCACATAATTTAGGACATCTGTCCCAAATAAGTCCGTTCAAACATTCATTGACATTCTGTGTCATGCCGTGATTGCACTTACTTAATAAGTCAGTGTTACTTAGATCATCAAATATGGGTTTGATTACATTCATAATACATGGTAGAATACCATTCTTGTGTTTATAATTATCCTTATCCCTGTTATAGCCACACCAACTGTCCTCTCCATCAGGACAGAGATGATGTTGTGGATTCTCGTCTGTCGATGCAACATGGTATAGTGATGCTTCTATGGCCGTAGCCATTTCACCAACATCACTGAAGTTTTCTCTCACTGCCAGGCCATAATAGTTCTAAAGAACATCTATTTTGCTATCAGTGAGCCTACCTTTGCCAGCCAAGCCTTTTCCAACTGCCAATTTTACACCTTTACTTTGATTTTTTAATTTCCGCAACCGACTACCGACCTTTTTCTGAACATGTCCAATGCATTCCATTTTATTTGGTATGCATTCATCTCCATATGGCTTGCTTTGAACAATTTTGTTGTAAGTTGAGGAATCCCCATCACCAAGCATGTTCTTATGCTTGAGTCCTCTTGTTTGAAACGACCGTTTGAAGATTCGTAAAGTACCAACTGTCTCCATGCTGTTTGCACTTCCTACATGGTTAATTTTGCAGTTGTGTGTAGCTTTCCATTCTTCGTATCTTGGATCACTTTCCTTCTTTTTCCACTTTTGACATTGTGTGCACTTGTCTGACATCACTTCAACATCAAGACATTTCTTCGAATCCAGCGAAATCACTGTCACAATGCCATTGTGTGACGCATGGCCCCTCTTCTGCCACGTACCATCGATTGATACCCCACATTCTTCAGCATCATTGGCATTCTGTTCCCTCACTTCCATAGCATTATTCACCATGCTATCACTAGCCAATTGCTTTACCACAGGTAGGAGCTTTTTATTCTGAATCTTAGTAAAGATGCGACGTGTTGGTGGTTCAGGCATATTCATAACTTTGCTGGCATGGTTTTCATGGCATTATGTCCTCTACCAATTTCTCTAAATGCCAGGACTGCTCTTAGGTTTATCTCATGAGAATGTCCCTGCTTTTTTGATGTACTAAAACAGTGTTTCCAGTCACACTCCACAGCTTTACACTCTATCACAGTATAATGGGAAAAGCCATGCTTCTTCTTCAGGTCAACATGTGAATCTATATCACCACCACACTCAGGACATTTTAAAATGTCATCAAAAACACCAAATAGGGCAGATAAATCCATAAAAATTGTACCTTCCTTCAAATTAGTGCTCATACCAGCTGAAATATCATCAAACTTTGCCGTATTTTCACCAATTTTCTTGGAAGAAGGTCCAGGGTTTTTATAAGTGGATCCGCCATCTTGGATAATTTTCGCCTGTTTGACGGTGGAATTATTGCTTTCTTTCGCGATCTGTTTCTAGTATTTCCCATTTATTTACTTCGATACACAATCAGAATAACAAATAGAAGATATTTTAATACAAAGAAGCAACTTTTCGACTAATAAAACGTTAAAAAACAGCGATTTTCGAAGACGACTTTTCACACAACACGTTGCGACTAGACCACAAGTTCGGCATAGAAAGCTCGTTGCCATGGCTTCAAAAACGGACCAATCACAAACAGACTGAATAAGAAGATCTTAAAGAACATACATCAAAAGTAAAAATACTAAAGAATCGTTTCTATTGAATATTTCATGCATTTTTGGATGGAAACGCGTTGCTAAGGCGTTGCTATGGAGGAAGTTTTCCAGCCTTGCTACTTTAAACGCATTTTTCACGTATAAAAAATAAAAATCTTGCGAAATTAACTATAAATTCTCAAACTACAATATTTAAAATACTTAAAATGTATTTAATAATAATTTCGAAAAAAATACTTTGAAAGGTGACCACCTTTTAATACAAGTGTAGTTATAGTGTTAACTGCAGTTAAAAGGTAGAGAAGTGAACTATGCCCAAAGGGTACAGTTAACTCTCGAAACGTGGTTGAAAAGGCGCTTCAGTTGGGAGTGAATAGCATTTTCAATAAGATAAAAGTGAAAACCAACGCTTAGTAATACCTGCATGGATTTTCATTCTCTGACAGTTATAAACTTTTCGTTTGGCGAAAACAGAACATGTTTTTGCACAGGAAGATTTCTGGAAGACGAAATAGGACTGTTTGGCCATTATTAATATATATAAAATCCTTGTGAAACGCTCATTACTTTATGCAGTTTTGTGTTTATTTAATTAAAAGCCCCACGCGCAAGCCCCACGCACAATTAACTCACCACGTTTTGTGCAACGCAGTTAGTTAACTAAAGCCTGGCGCACACGACGCGATTTTAGTCGGCCGATAAAAATCGTTTGACTAAAACTAACAAAATCGTTGTGTGTGTCGTGTCATTTTTAACCGATTTTTGTTGCTCGATTTTAATCGGACAACATCAAAACTGGCGCAGAGATTCGAGAGGGAGAGGTTTTGAGATTCTAACACAGAAAGCCACCTTAATACACACTTATAATGATATGGGGAAAAAGGCCCTCATTAAGCATTTGCCCCCGTAGGCCTAGTTACCCATCATAGATATCTTACATACACTGGATAGCGCTCTCTTTTTTTAAAATTGAAGCCAAGAATAATCCAGCGGTTACCCACATCTTAATAGATGGCGGCCATATTGGTCGTTTCCACTTGCTAATAAACGCTTAAAAACAGCAATAACTTTCATCGTTTGAATAGTTTAAAAACATATTTGGAATAGGGTTAACTTAATGTTTATATTCCCTGTTTAAGAAATAGAAAACATACGAATCTTCTCATTTCATGCGATCATGGCTTCAAATTTTGAATTGCAGAATAATTAGATGCACTATCTAGTGTATATAAGATATCTATGTTACCCATGCAGTAAGATAAAAAAATGGCCTGGTGACAACAAGAGAAACAGTTTGAAACAAATTGTTTATATCCCAGCTTGACAACACGCCTGGTGGATCTGATTGATGACTGTGGTTTCACCCAAATGGTCACAGCACCTACAAGGGGAGCAAATACCTTAGATCTTTCCATTACTAATAACGACTCACTGATCAACACAGTTAAAGTTATCCCAGGTTTGAGCGACCATGATATTGTGTATGGAGAAGGATATATCAACCCCATAGTAAATAAACAAAAGCCTCGGAAGCTATTTCTATATAATAAAGCGGACTGGGTTGGTCTACGCAAACACATAAATAATTTTGTGAGTCCTTTGTTAGTACAAACTTATTAGACCCTGGTAAATCTGTCAACCAGCTCTGGGATTTATTTAAACTTGAACTTGAAAAGAGCTTCAACAAATACATCCCTTCCAAATCTGCTAAGCGAAGAAATGGGCTCCCCTATATGACTACAGAAATCAAACGACTAATGAAACAGAGAGATAAACTACACGCCAAGAAAGACCCAACGTACAAAAAGTTGAAACATCTGGTGCAGAAGAAATTGCGAGCTGCATATTGGTTATACATGGAAGATGTCATTACTCCTTTAGACAGTACCGACACATATAAGGCCAGCAAGCGCTTCTGGTCATTTATCAAACACTCAAGATCCGATATAACTGGTATGCCCCCCTTGAAACACAACGGTCTAATGGTGACAGGTGCTGTAGACAAAGCAAAACTGTTAAATGACACATTTTACTCAACATTCACTGCACCTGGAAATTCCTGCCTTCCTCATGCCCGCGCCCCTGTAGCCCGTATCCAGACATGCCAGATATTCACATCAGTGTTGAAGGAATTACCAGACTTCTCGCAAATCTTAAACCACACAAGGCTGCAGGACCCGATGGCATCAGACCACGAGTATTAATTATTATTATTATTATTATTATTATTATTGGTTTAATAAAATCCATTTTGCAGCTAAAGCTGAATTACATGGAAACAATATTTACAATATTAAATATTAAAATTTACTTTAACAATGTTGTATAGGATGATAATATGTATTCTATCCTAAATTAGGGTAGATTACGATAATATACTCTAGCTATATTAAACTACCTATTATAAAAATGTATTCATAAAATGTTAACTATACTTAATGGTAAAAAAGTTCTTTAACCGTTCAGACATTATCGGTAAGAGTTGTGGATTATTATTACGCAGATCATAATTATGAGTTCGGTCTGGTAGACCGGATTTAACTATTGCAGTTAAAGGGTTGTGTGGCGAATCTTGGTCTCGAAGTAAGTTAATTAATTTCCTACATGCTTCTTCTCTTCTTGTACTCAGTAGTTTAATGTTACTTTTGTGTAATGCTTCATCATAAGACAGAGTGGGATACGCAATTTTTAAAGCTCTTTTTTGCACCGACTCAATAAGGTCTGATAATGTCTTTGGAAGAGCGGACCAAACTGGTGATGCATACTCCAACTGGGATCTTATAACTGCACAATAAATATGAACAATGTTTAAAGGGCTCAATCCAGCTTTCTTTAATAGGCGTAAAGCATAGATGCGTGAATTCGCTTTCTTTAAAATTTTATCTACGTGTATATCCCACGAAAGATTGTTAGTCAACCACACGCCTAGTAGTTTAAAACTGGAGACTCTCTCCACCACATCACCGCCTATAAAAATGTCATTTTCTACTAGTTTATACTTAAGAAACGTAATAACCATATCTTTGCATTTCTTTGGATTTAGTCTCATTCCTCGTTCGTTTGCATAATCGGATATTTGGTCCACGATAATTGGTAGGAAGCTGGGTGAACATCGTGGAATTATTTCCAAGACCGTAGTATCGTCAACAAATTTGACTCTCCCAGGCCAATCCTTGAGCAAAGAATTTACAAGGACTGCAAAAAGCAGCGGGCCTAGTTTTGTTCCTTGTGGTAGACCACCGTTTGTTTTCTTCCACGACGAGTATGAGTTTTCAATTCGCACACACTGTTCACGATTGCTAAGAAAAGCTTTTATCCACCTCACTAGGGCAGGATGTACACCAAGATTTTCCAGCTCGCATATTATGACATTATGATCAACAAGATCGAACCCCTTTTTAAAGTCTGCAAAAAACAATCTAGCAGAGCAGGAAGTGTTCTCAAGGGCAGACAAAATGGTGTGCAGGAGGTATGTTAGGGCGGGAGTCGTAGATTTCCCTGGTAACGCAAACTGCTTCGTGTCCAATTTACTCTCAATTTGGGCAAATAATTTTGTCAAGGTGAACCCCTCCATGACCTTAGAAATTTGGGACATTAATGATATGGGTCTTAGATCGTCCTCCACGCTTTGAGGTAGTGAGACTTTAGGGATTGGAACTACAATAGACCGTTTGAGGTTCATCGGAAACACGCCGTGAATGATAGACGAATTGTAAATGTCCGTAATGACTGGGGCAAGTTCATATGCAAAGACTTTCAAAATTTTGTTAGGTATCATATCTGGACCAGGGCTTTTATTGGTTTTAATTTTGCGGAGTTCATTGTACACTTTATTAGCGTCGATGAGGTATTCACCTGGTACATTGAAATCCAATTGTTCTTCCTCGCGTGTTAAAGGAGTAAAATGTGATGTAAGATCGGAAAAAAAAACAGTTAAATACTTCAGCCAAGTCATGGCAATTAGGAATATCATTAGAAAGTAGTTGATTATACCAACAACTTTTGGAAGATATACCACCCAACGACTTAATTTCTTTCCACCATCTTGAAGGGTTGGAAGTTTTTAGTTTCTCAACTGATTGGGCATAATACTTAAATCGGGCCGATTTAATTGATTGCTGGACTTGGTTTCGCCAAAGTTTATACGCATCAGAATTTTTCCCATAATAATGGAGAGCTTTTTGACGTTTTATAATTAACTCTTTTATTGATGACGTCAGCCACGGTTTGTCACATTTAGTTACTTTAGTTCTTTTCAAAGGGAGTAAAATATCAATCATATCACTCATTATGTCATTAAATTTTCCATATTTATCTTCACACGCATTTGTAGTAAAAACATCTGACCAATCAAATGAAGTTATCCAGCGGCCAAAAGGTTGTAACGAATTAAAAGAACTAGCTCCATCTATAGCACCCATTCTCCAATTGATATTCACCACCTCGCTGTACAGTCATGCTATCCCTGATGACTGGAAGTTGGCCTTAATTACACCAATTTACAAAAAAGGAGAAAAGGGCTCCCCAAAAAACTACCGCCCAATATCACTTACCTGCGTATACAGTAAGCTGATGGAACATATAATAACATCTAACATGACGACACACTTCGAGCTACACAATGTCGTCTACCAGCTGCAACATGGTGTTAGACACGGTCGATCTTGTGAGACACAGTTGCTTGAGCTTACAACTACTCTTCAAGCAAACCTTAACGCGAGAGCGCAGACAGATCTTGTAATCATGGACTTTTCAAAGGCCTTTGGCAAGGTCTCCCATAACAAGCTCCTAGCAAAACTGAACTTCTACGGTGTACGAAGTGATATTTTGCATTGGATATCGTGCTTCCTTGGTAGTCGTCAGCAGTGGGTTGTAGTCGAGGGAAAACAGTTCCCATACCTCCCAGTCCTCTCCGGTGTTCCTCAAGGCTCCGTTATCGGCCCAATCTTGTTCCTTGTGTACATAAACGATCTTCCGGAATACGTTCAATCCAATGTACATCTCTTTGCTGACGACACAATTATGTATCCAGCAATTCACTCAGAAGATCAGTGAGCTAAACTACAATCAGACCTAGACAACCTACAATCATGGAGGAAGGATTGGTTAATGGAGTTTAACCCAGACAAATGTGAAGTTCTACGAGTAACGCGCGAGGAATCAATGATCCATCATGACTATACTCTTCACGGCAAAGTCCTCAGGTCCGTCACAAATGCCAAGTACTTTGGAGTACAATTATCACACGATTTAAAGTGGAACTCTCACATCAGCAATGTTACTGCCAAAGCAAACCGTACTCTAGGGTTTCTGGAAAGTAATCTGAGGGTAAAAAATCGTGAACTCAAGCAAAAGGCATATGTTAGCCTTGTACGCCCCTAGCTAGAGTACTGCTGCAGCGTTTGGGATCCCCGACGCCGAGTTGAAAACAACGGTTCATACAGAGTGGAGATGATTCAACGCAGAGCGGCGAGATGGACCCTAGCACGCTTTCATCCACTGGCCAGTGTTACTGAAATGCTAAATGAACTTGGGTGGCGCTTTCTTGAGGAAAGACGCATTGACGCTCGTCTAGTCCTGATGTACAAAATTGTTCAGGGCCTTGTTACCAGTCAGCTGTTCAAATCTTCTTCGTCCTGCATTAAGAAGATCTCGAAATACACATGATCACTTATTCCTACCTATAGTCTGCAACACGTCCTCCCACTACTTATTGTTCTTCCCAAGAACAATAAACCAGTGGAACAGTATTCCTTCAAGCATTTTTACAAATTGACACAACTGACACTTTTCGTCAGCGTATTTCACTATTGTCTCATTCTAGTAGTGTTTAGTGTGTTATTGCGTCCCTCGGCCGAGGTTGGGGATCGGGGGCTCTTTTGGGGGGTTTGATCGTCAATAACGCACATGTTACCAGAGAAATTCCAATTTCTCTTGGAGACTGTGCCTACGTGGCGATCAGGCATTCTGACGGAGCTCCCCATCTCCGATCTCGGCTCGGAAACGCTCTAGGGTGTTTTTGTTTTTGTTTTTTTTTAATAGTTTTTTTATTATTTAACTTTCTATCATATTAACTTTAAATAGCTTATTATTATTAACTTTTTCTTTGGGTTGGCAATATGTATTCTGCTGACCCCAGCTAATAATCCTCATACTGAGGGGTGTGCTGTACTGGAAGATAGATGAAAATGCGGCGAAGGGAAAAGGCCCTGGCACCGGCTGGCTTTCAAAATCACGAATCGTGGTTTTAAATAAATTAACGATAATATTAAATATGCGAAATGAAAATCAAGATGGCCGCTAACGTAAGAGTGTCCACAAAATTTAAGTGTTCAGAGAGGCTTTTTCCTTCTTTTTGCTACACACGTATTGGAAATCAAATTATTCAGCTTTTATTTCGTTCGCTAAACAGAATTAACAGCTGAAATATTCGAAAAATAGATTTAGGATTTATACGACAGATGTTCACCAGCTGGACAGGCTTGCCTAAGAGGACACGGAAAGTGTTTCGAATTGGGTATGTTAAATAAACCTGGTGTTTAGCCTTCCGAAAACTCTGCCGTGCGACGATTGGAGCGAGTTTTGTATGAAGAATATACAGTGATTGTGATTCAAAGAAATATTTTTGGATGCATATGATGTTATTGGTCGATTGCTGACAAAGTCACTGATAACTGCCAATGGTTGGAATATGTTTGTTGAATGCTTGTTTAAGTTTTCTTTGCAGCCAAATGTTGTTGAAACTGCAAAGCTAACATATGAGTGATATGATCCAAAACAGATTTTTTATTGGACATTCATCTGATCTTTATAGTTTGCTTCCAGCAAAATGGGAACAAGACCTTAAGAATTCTATATGAAATAAGAAATATTACGTTTAAAATCATGACTGGGAAATGTGCAAATTGTACTTCTAATAGTATGTACCTCCAGTAAAGCTTGCTGCTTGCATGCTTCAATTCTTGCTGTTACCATCTGCACATTATCAGGGTGGAGAATTGATTTGAATTTTTGTTCCCAGGGAAAAAGTAAGTGAATAGATTTCCATCACAAAAGAGGCAAGGTGCCCAGCCAGTTAGAGTTAGCAAGATGGCATGTACTTTAAGAGACTATTCATCATACCCTAAGGTAGAGTGGAAGATTCTTATGTCAAAATGTCATGGGACTGCCTTTTGTAATATCTTAATAATGGAGAATCCCTAAATATTTGAGACTATAACATTATGCAATTCTAATCTTCATTCATGTGAATTCCTGATTATGAAGAAAATACATTTTGCAACATACAGTATAAGAGCTAAGAGCTAGAATGATTGCTTCCTTTAGATGATTTGTCTTAAATAATAATATCAATGTAATTTCATGTCATTTGGCAACTAATATGTAGCCAAATATTTTCTGAAACCAGTTACTATTTTGTTTTTTTACAACACTCCCCCCACCCCCAAGACTCAACAAATCAACGACCCTTCCCTTTTTTTCCACTCTACCTTAGTGTATAAATAATGAATAATCCCATTAATTGGGATATTTTGCCAGCAAAATTTATGTAATTTGATGGTAACTGTTCTGAGAACATATTAATTCATTGAGTGGCAGCATTCTCCCCTTGATGAGTAAATTCATATGGCGTTAAATGGAGTAATATACTAAAGTAGGGCACATTGCCAATACAAAGGGTTAAGCAAATTAATAAAACTTTTACAATTGTCTGTTCAAAAAGCTGTATTTGTAAATTATAATTGACTTTTATATCCCTACTTATACTTATAGCTACCTTTCCTCAGTCACTTCAAGTGAATTCTACGGGAGGAGAATGGTAAATGAAAGAATTGAACCATGTACCTACACTGTCCAAGTACAAGGTGTTAATATAAACAACAAAACAATGTATATAACTACTTTTTATTAAATAAAATGTGAAATATCTTACAAATTGCTGCGGAATTACAAACCCAAAGTGTACATAATTATCAATATAATTAGGACTTAGAAGCTGTTCGCATGAGTTTGACCCTGACCCAGTACCCAATCCAGTGGCGTAACTAGAGCGTTAATTGGGGGGGGGGGGGTGTATATTAATATATTCGTGTTCTACCCGACTAATTTCTTTTGAAATAAACTTAAATTCAAAAGAAATTCGTCGGGCAGAACACGAATATATGAATATACCCCCCCCTAATTAACGCTCTAGTTACGCTTCTGATCCAATCACAGATATCATTTGATTCAAAACGAAGTATCACAATGACAGAAAACAGGGCGGATGTACCTGTGTACTGGGCGTAGTGCAGGGGTGTTGTGTGCACTGCCTAGTGGTGTCCAGCATCCCTTGAAGAAAACTCTGGTATTCCATATTTGAGTTATGAATAATACTTATTATATTGAAATGATTGATTTTCGGAGAGAATGCCCATGACTCGTGTAGTAATGCACCACCTCTAGAAAACCTCCGGCCCTTCTAACAAATCAGTATATACTGAAAAACCTCTGGATGCAGTGTTTTTTTTATATTTTATTTAAAGATTGTATTCATATGGCTGGACCAACCAGATTACAATCAGCTTGAAAATCGTGTTGCAATGCATGTAGCAATTTCACTTTACTGCTAATAATATTCCAGGCAGAGGTTTTTCAGAAGTAGCATTCAAGGCCAGGTTGGCTTGGCCAGCCAGCCCAACTCGTGTGAACGTAAACAGCCTTTCATTACACATTTGAAGCATCTATTGAGGCATCAAAATACATGCATGCACATACACATAAGCCCATCATTGCACAACTTTGTCTGCACCAACACTGAATCAAGCTGGAAACGGATTTTATCTGTACTTTGATATATACATTATGGCTGATGTCTATAATACCATCAAAACAGAACACATTAGAAAACTGTAACATCAGCAAAATGAACAAATCACTTTTTTAACACAATTCATGGTAAGAATGGAGCCACACGCTGCACAATTTTTGAATAAATTTTAGTCTCTGAAACAAAATCAAATCGTATATCATTATTCAAATCAAGTTGTAAACAGTGTTGCTTATAACAAAATATCGTCGCAGTTCTAATAGTAACTATAAATTAGGCCAATTTATTAAAGTCGACTAATTTAAATATGAAGAATATAAAAAATTAAAGTCATATTTATAAACCCAGACTTATACAAGAAAGTATTTGTACACAACAATATAAACGCTATACGAAGCCATTAAATGAAGACACATTTTGCCCTAAATAATCGGTCAGAGGTGTGTTGTAGTACACAATTCAAGTTTTTCACATTTTAAAATAAACAATACGTCAATAATACTAACCTTCGACAAATCGTGTATAAATCTTATCGAATTTAAGTACTTTTTTCCACAGATAATATGTAAAAATATTTCTTAGACAGACAAAGGAAAATGGACACTCCTTGCATGAAAATGTTAATTTATCCCAAAGTGTGTATAAATTAATCCAAGATTGCATAATAATGTACTTGTCATTGACCAATCAGAATGCATAAACGACCAGCCGGTGCCAGGGCCTTTTTTCAGAAAAAAGGCCCTGGAAACGAGGTTGCCCCCCCCCCCCCACATCTCTCCATTAAATCAATTCTTGTTAAAACATTTCGGGTTCCAAATCTTCTTGATAGTTCATAATAAACTTTAGCATGCAGGCATGCGAGAACATTGTAGATACAAGGAAGTTGTCATGATAACAGGTGGCGCCAATATACATTATTTGCCGTGTTTTGAAAGCCTTTTTATACCCTAATTGATACATAACATCAACATTTTTGCTGTTTATAATTGATCTATTTTATAAAATGTCATAGTCAATGGTGATGGAAGACAAATCAACTGTTTATACCTAGTAAACAGTGGTGGATCCAGCAAAGTTTTATTGGGGTGTGCTAACCAATGGCGAAACCAGTGCCGAAGGCGCGAGATTTTTAGGGTGGTCCGGGGGCATACTCATACGTTGGTTAGACATAAGTTGGTTAGAATTAGGATAAACGTCATTTTTGTACCCCCCCCCC